CTTCCGCATCCGCGACGTGATGGTCTGCGCCGGTGCCGACGGGGCCTCCTCCTGCATGGTAGGTGCCCCCCAGACCCCCGGCACCCCCCCCGCAGCCCCGGGACCCCCCCGGCCGCAGCCCCTGCCCTCACCCGCTGCCCGCAGGGCGACTCCGGCGGCCCCCTGGTGTGCCAGAAGGACGGCGCCTGGACCCTGGTGGGCATCGTGTCCTGGGGCAGCAGCACCTGCGACCCCAACGTGCCCGGTGTCTACGCCCGCGTCACCAAGCTCCGCGACTGGATCGACTCCATCCTGGAGAAGAACAACTGAGGCCCTCAATAAAGGCTGTCACCCCTCGCGCTGCGTCCTCGCTGCGGCACCGGGAGGGGACACGGGGCACCCCGTGCCTGGGGGACACGGGTGGGGACAGGGGCTTGGTGTGGGGCTGGGGACACTGCTGTGGGCATGGGGACATGTGGCTGGTGGGACAGCGTGCAGTGAGCTTGGGGACACTGCTCTGAGCATGGGGACGTGTGGCTGGTGGGACAGCGTGCAGTGGGCTTGGGGACACTGCTGTGGGCATGGGGACATGTGGCCAGGCTCTCCATGGGCTTGGGGACACTGCTGTGGGCATGGGGACATGTGGCTGGTGGGGACACTTGGCCACGCACACCATGGTTGTGAGGACACTTCTCTGGGCTTGGGGACAGCAGGCCAGGAAGGCTGGAGACAAGAGGACACATGAACCCCAAGGGGCTCAGGGACATGTGGCCTCGTGCAGGGAACCAGAGCAGGCAGGGGACCCCTGGCCGGGCTTGGGGACCCCTGGCCAAGGAGCACAGAAGGCCTGGGGACGCGTGGCCTCCACCTGGAGAAGCCTGAGCAGGGCAGGGGAACGTGGCCACATGTAGGGACAGCTGAGCAGGCTGGGGCCACCGGGCTGTACCCCTGGTGTGGGGACGTGTGGCCTTCCAGGGGGACAGCTGGCTGGGAGTGGGACACCTGGCCAGGTGTGGGGACACCTGGCCTGGCAGGGGGACCCCCAGCGGGGAGGGGACACTTGTCCCAGCCCCATCAGCCAGAGGCACCTTATGGCAGTGGTGGGGGGGGACTGGGCAGGGTCCTGGTCTTGGCTGGCCCCACCATGGCTCTGAGGTGGGTGCTGGGGGTCCTGGGGTGCCAGAGCTACCACTCCAATCTGGGCCTGGGCAGGCACCCAGGGGGAAGGTGCTCAGCATGCAGGGTCCCTCCTGCCTCACAGCACAGCCACGAGTCCATGCACATGTGGGTGCTGGGCTGGGTCCCCCTTGGGGACAGAGCTGGGAGGGGAATTTGGGGTGCCAGCATCACTAGGGTGCCCAGGGGTGGGGTCCCAGGAGTGGCAGGGTCTCCACCAGGGTGCTGTGGTGCCAGGGGTGCCCACAGGGGAGTGGCTGCCATGGTCCCAGTGTTCCCAGGGGTGCACAAGTGGGCTTGGGGACCAACATGGTGCATTACAGCACCACATGGCCTAATGGGGTGCTGCTAGATGGACAGGGTGCTCCCAGGGCAAGGGATGGGTGCCTATGGACAGGGACACCAGGAGTGGCCCAGGATGATGGATGGGTGCCCAAGAATGGGAACTGAGAGCCTTGGAGGGGCACCAGGGCCAGGCAGAAGTGCCCAGTGCCAGGAGGAACAGGGGTCTCCGGGGACAAGGCATGGTGATGGGAGAACGTGGTGTGACTCTAGGGTGTGGGATGGGTGCCCAGAATGGGGGTCACCAGGGTGAGGGATGGGTGTGAGGGCCAGGGGTCTGCTGGTGGGACTGGGGCAAGGACCAAGCCCTTGGGGACTGCAGTGGTGTCCTGAGGTGTGGGGCAGGAACCCAGAGCAGGGACTTTGCCCATCATAGGCCACGATGTGTTTTTGAGAGGACAGGGCACCCCAACCCCTAGGGGTCCCTGTTCCCTCAGCACACACAGGCAGACACCCTGGAGCAGGTCGGGGTGGGGGGATCCAGGCAAATCTTTATGCTGCTGGGAGGGCAGGGGGCTGAGTTTCAGGGGGCTGGGCCTCCACAGCTCCAGGACCCAGCAGAACCTTCCCCCATGTTCAAAAGGCACCAATTTCCGTTTGCGTTTCGGTTACAGCTGGTACAGGAGCAAAAGACAGGTCAGGCTCCTCCCTGACCCCCCCAGTACCCCCCTCACCCCCCAGGGGTCCTTACCCACAGCCCCCAGTGGGACAGCACGACCGGGTCCCTGCCCCACTGTCCCACCATGAGGGCGTGTGTGGCTTCCACACCATTCACAACCCAGTGTCCACCAGAGGTGGCTCGCGAGGCCCCCCCAAAAGACACCAA